ACATTTTGCTAATGAAAATTTTGTCAAAGGTTAGTATGTTTTTGGAATTGTGTATTTTTTTTTTTTTTCCCGATGCCTGGCTACCTTCTTGCACTGTCTGTTTAGGTAGGGGTTGTTTTAAGAGCCTTTCACGAGTGCAGATACGGTTGAGGGGCCTGTCAGAATGCAAGTTATTTTTCCAGTCCCTCAGAAAGCCCATGGGCTGCAGGTGCTTCRAGCAGCGCGGTTACGATTCCGCAGGGTCTGACAGTGCAGTTCTGGAAATGGCTGAGAGTCCTTGGGAAAAAGCTGACTRAAGAGAAAAAGAGAAGAAAATTAGCAAAGCCCTAAGGTTAATTCTAGTCCCTTCTTAACAGGAACCACAAATATTTTTTCTGGTTTTACATATTTAAGGTTTCTTTCCTGAAATAATTATCTTGATAATTGCACAGAAGGTTCACATTTTTTTTGTATTGGCTGTCTTTTCCGATGATATGTTTTGTAGTAATACTCCATTTTAATTCCTAAAGAATTGAACCCTTTCTTGTTGAAAGGGGAGCAGTTTCCTCTTGACTAAGCTGTGGTGTTGCTGTTGATGGTGCTGGGTATTGCTCGGTGGCTGTCTCGCTCCCTGAGCGCTGCTGCTCCCCGGAGGAACGCCGTTCACGCTTGCCACTAGCACCCTCTGCGCCCGGACCCCCTTCAGAACTGCCGTGCTAACAACAAAAAAATTGCATACACTTGCAGAAGAATTGCTTAATGCTGTGAAGCGTTCTGGTTTCTACCAAAACCCCACTTACTTAATTCAGTGCCGTTCCTGGCCCACATCAATAATGCAGCCCTCACATCTCCCCATCAGTGAATTATGCAGCTCTGCACACGCATCAGTTACTTTTGGCCCTGTCGACTTCCCCCCTTCTGCGCGCTGCTCGCCTCAATCGGTTTCGCATCGCCCAGCCGCGAGCGGTTCGTTTTGTGCTCCCAGCAGCTCCTATCTGCCTCAACCTGCAGCCCCACTTCACCTCTTCACCCGCCCCCACGTGCTGCTTCCCTGCACAGCCCCGCTCGCTCCTCCCGCTGCTCTGGGATTCTCCTGAACTTCTCCTCTTGCAGCTCGGCAGCGAGGGTCAGCGCCAGGCGCCTTCCCCTCCCGCTGCTTCGGCACGCGCGGGATCCCAAAGGCAGCTGTGCCCTGCGGGGAGAGGCTCTTGCCCGGGAGAAATCCCGGTAGGTTTGTCGCTCCCCGTCCRATTTCCAGGGAGCCAAGTGCAGGACTGAAGCTCCATCTCCTGGAACGGCCTGTGAGGCCACGGAGCAGCCGCCTCCGAAACCCTGCCGGGGRAAAGCTTGCAGCGTGCATCGCCCCACTGAGAAGACAAATAGCTCCTGCATCTGCAAATGAGTAGCATGGAGGAAAAACCGGCTGCCAACATCCATCAAGCTCAACACTCCTTCCAGCAACAGGAATAATTGGGACTGGGCCTTGGTGTTAAAGCTGACACCAGCACTGCAGGTGTCCGCGTCCTTGCCACAACAGACTTCCCTAATCCATGCGGAAAGAGCTCGTTCCCCTCCAGAAAACCCCCGGCAGCCAGAGCACGAGTGTGTCAGGGAGGGCGCCTTGTTCCCTATYGCTGTCTCGGCCGCCTCCGCACGGGGCAGTTGGGACCGCTGTGTTAGTGTCCCCGAAGGCAGAGGTGGGTTCGTGGCCGGGGGGACCGAGGGCCGTGCAGCGCGAGGCGCCGCAGCGGGAGCGACCCGGGCTCTCCAACACGCTCCCGTTGCACGCGGGCCTGCCCGGGGCCTCCGAGGTGCAGCCAGGGCCCTGACCCTCCAGCAGGATAGAGCCGGGCAAGACGGCCCCTTCCTACCGTCTCCCTCTGCCCTTAATTCCTCAGGGATGCAGCCGGGCAGCGCCGGCAGAGCCGCTGGCCTGCGCCTGTGCTCACCACGGCTGCCGGGGAGCYGCTCCCGGTGCTGGAGAATGCCCTCTTTTAAAGCTCTGTCTGCTCTGGAGGCAGGAAGGAATGTGATTCCTCTCCCCAACGAGGTTACTGAGTATTTTCTCTCCTCTCCTTTTTGTCTGTGTCTATTTAAGCAGCTAGTGTTACAGAGACGGACTTGTGCTTTTCTTGTACGGTTCCCAGCACATCTGGCAGTCTTGGATAGGGTCCCTAGGCCTGATTGTGGCAAAAAGTAATGATAGTGTGTTTTAAACCCAGGCCTCCAGCTAACACAATATATAAAACACAAAGCATTCGGAGCGAACTGGAGGAAATACATTTTTAAGTAACTGTTTGAGGGGAAAAAAGAATATGYTCACTTTTTTACATCTGTAATTGTACTTTGTATGAGTGGGTGCTGCATTGTGCTGAACGACTTCATCTTTGCATTCRAAGACCTATTTAATATAGCGAAGCACTTGATCCCAGCTGATTGGGATCTCCTTTTAATCAAACTCTTTTCCTGTCCCACTTAMACAACAACCGTGGTCATTCATTAGCATTAAGCTGAACTGTCTCTAGAAAATGTTCTAATTATCTCGGCTTCCTGATTAAACCTGCCTCAGCTTAGAAGAGGAACACCACTGTGTGTCATGTGAACATTTCGTGTTTCTGCTAAGTAATAGACTTAGCTATGGGCATTTCCTTAAGAGCAGGTAGGATGCAATTGCAGTATAATTCCTCTCCCTCCAAGCCTCGTCTTGAAGCATGCAAATTTCTCTTTCAAGTGTTTTGGCAAAAAAAAGGGGCAACATCCTGATCTACGCATGATTTAGGCGCTGAACTGCAGCCTGGTTATCGCCGGTGGGCTGAGTTCCTGGGTGCACATAGACCATCCCAGGAGCGGAGGAGTCTGCTGAGGAGATAGTCCGGGGCTGGCTGCTGATGCTCCTTGGTGGGCACGCAGCCCTGGCCGGGGCCGGGGTCCCGGGCTGCCCACGGACCCCTGGTCCRCCCCAGCCTTGCAGCGCTCACGGAGCCCGCTGCCGGGCCGCGCGCTGAGCCCCTTCATGTCCTGTTTCAAAAATAACAAGACATCTCTTAATATTCAGGATACATTTTTCCACTCTGAAGCACCACAACAGTCTTTTTAAAGAAACCCTAGGAAGGGTGTTAACTTGATCAATGCTGTGCAGGAAGGAAAGCTCTTTCCTACTATTTTTTCAGCGTGACTTTCACTGACATGATCAGGCTGGGAAAAGACTTATTGGCTGACAGCCCAGGACAGCCATGCAGTATCTCGAGTCATCTGGAACTCAAACTGCTCTGCCCAAGGGAGAACCATAACATAAAAACAATTTAGGTTACATGCTGAATCTTACAAATATTGTTCAGTTTTTTAAAAAAATAGTTTAGATTCTATTTATGTACATTCGCTGTGCACATTTTTTTCCTCAAATGTCAAGCAGGGAAGGCTTAGGAGGGTTTTTAGGGTTTTTTTCAAGGTAGGAGGCTTTCAAAACTGGTGGGAATTTTTAGAAAAATATGGAAGTGAGCTTCCTGCCACCTCTTGAATTTACAAGCTCAGCTTCTTCTTTGTATCATATATAAATATTTTAAATACAGATAGCGTTTACTTTGTGACCCGGTGCAGAAGCCATAGCAGTGCTGGTTGGAAGGCCTTTCCAGGGGCCTTGCAGCTCTCCAGCACGGGATTGGGAAGGGCTTGGCTGAGTCCGGCCGAGTCCCTAAAACCTCCGTGCCTGAGGCTCTGCCCCTGACCTGCCCCAGGGCCGCTCTTCCACGGAAGCGATTCCTCCTCATGTCCAGCCTGAACCTCCCGGCTGCGGTTTGGGGCCGTGGCCCTTGTTATGTTGCTGTCGCTGTTCATGGGAGTCGGCTCTCCCCTTCCGAGGAGCTGCTGACTCCCTGCTCTCCCCGTGGCCTCCCTTTCACCACTCGGAGCGAGCAGGTGCCTCGTTCCCGCTCCCGGGCCCCGTGCTCCGAACCCCGGCCCGCTGGGGTAATAAATCCTTACTGAGGCAAAGCTCAAAGGGTTTTACACATGAGCCCTCGATGGGCGGCTCCAGTTYGGCCCCTCGTTCAGCTCGGACATTTGGCAGACTGGAGGGGTCTCTGTAGTAGTTTCATCTTGGAAAGAATAAGTAGGATGCTTGTCTTTAAGGGAATTCTGATTTTATTATCTTTACATTATAAATGGGACCTTTTTTTTTTCTCACTGAGGTGCTGACTTCTAATTAATTTGGCACATTTACTTCTCTTGCTATTGCTCTGTTTTTGGATGCTGTAAAAGCACACGTAATCTTACTTAGCCCCGTAAAACCAAAATGCAAAAAGCAAGGGCCGATATAGGTGTATCAAACTTGGCAAAGTGGAATTCTTCACTTGTAACTGTTTTTTTTCTTGCTGATTTTTTCATTTGTTTTGTGGCACAGGAGAAGGAAAAAAATAGGGGATTTCTAACAGTTCAAAGCTAATGCTAAAATGTGTAAAGCTATCGTGCTTTTGTAAGTCTATTTTTTTTAACTTGCCTCTGTCTATCATTCCCTTATTRTGTGTTAAAAAACTATGAGAGTAATCCTTTTTTGTTTCTATAAGTTTACACAGCTCTAATGAATTTGAGATAAAACAAAGGAATATCAAATGTAAGCTTTGCTTAGAAAAACAACTTTTTTTTTTGTCTTAATTGAAGATCTGAACTTGGGATATGTCCATTGCCACCTGTCCCTTTGCCAAGTTTTAACATTCCAGCACACCTTATAACAAGCCTAAAACTATTATTTTAGGAAGATGATTGTAGTTTCTGTATGATGTCTTTTTTCCATAATCTGGTATTTCATAAGTTGAATAGCATTATTGTCTCTCCAGTGACTGATCCATTTGAACTCGGAGAAGAACTCCGCTTAGCCAATAGCTGAGTTGTTCTTGCGGAGTTTCTTGGTTTTGCTGAAATTGTTGTACGTGGTTTTTGGCCTTTTTTTTCTTGAGTTCTGGTTCTTAGCTCGCTGATGCCGTGTTTCATTTGTTACAACCTTCTCCATGCTGTTTGCTTTGCAGGCCTTGCTGAGACCAGGGAGAATAGACAGGATTATCTACGTGCCTCTGCCCGACGAGGCCACCCGCGCGGAGATCTTCAGGCTTCATTTTCGGTCCATGCCGGTCAGCGAGGAAGTGTGTTTAGCAGAGCTTGTTGGGCACACGCAGAAGTATTCTGGAGCAGAGGTAAAACGTTATATTAATGGTACTGGCCATGAACTCAACGCACCAATTGGCATCTTGAAAATTCATTTTGAGTTCCATCCCTTTAGGCTTCTCCAAGTGAAGGGTGGGGAAACTATGAAGGAAACGTTGAGAAAATAGACAATGACTTCTGTGTTTCTCCTCAGAAAACAATGCAGTCTGAGGGCGTTTTTCCCCCCGTGGAGATGAGTGCTGTTACCAGGGAAAAGGCCTCTTCCAGGGCGATCGTGAGTAAGATCCCAGGTGGCTTCCTTAAGGATGCCCAGAGGAGTGGAGGGAGGTGGGAGACAAGCTGGGGAGGACACAGACTGTCCGAGCAGTTCACCGTGACCTCCCCACAGCTGTGGGGAGCTTTTGCGTTAGGGGCTGTGGCTCAGAGCCCCGGCTGCAGGGAGGAGAGGAGCGATTCACGGGCTAAGGGAATCTGCCAGGGAATCACTGGTTCCCTCGAGGCCTCCTTTCTGCTCCACGTGACCAAGAGCTCACAACAGCTGCTGTTATTACAGCTCAGCACTGYTAGCAAGTCAGCTTCTGCCTGCGGACGTCAGTTATGCCCTGCCCTGCATGTAGGGAAAAGCTTTTTCAGGTGATGCTGCCTGGTGGTTGTAATAAGCGTTGACGTGTCCTGCATATTTATTCATGTCAGTGTCCCCACAAAATGTTTCATTCTTGCCTTGTTTGGATTAGTATAAGATAGTTATATGGCTTCATATATTTAAGGAGTGGTATTAAGATTGTCGCTTAGAGATTTTGAAGGTACAAAATCACCGAACTGAGGTTTCCACCTTGCTGTAGCCAGTCTTAGTGTATATGTTACTGTCCCGTCTTTGATACACAGTCACCCTTTAACCACACAGTCTCCCATTCCACTCTRTGGAGCGGAGAACATAACGTGCTCGCCACAGCTCCTCCATCTCTCAGTGTGCTGTTCACCAGGGCAGGGAGATAAGCTGGCTTGGCCCCAAAACAAGGCAGCTCTGGAATAGTGGCAGTCTTAGTGTGACCGTGAGCGGCCCTCCTCTACTGGCCTGTTGCTGGATGTGCTGAGCGACTTCCAGGCAGGAATTCTGTTCGTTTAGCTAGCTATTCCATAAGCGTTGGTGTGTTTTGGAAGCGGTGCTTTAGCCATTAAATAGGTGTTACGTGTGGCTGGTGAGGGCACTGCTGCGGGTGCTGCGGACACCCCRGGAGTGCCCCGGGAGTGGGGACAGCCCTTGCCACGTGCAGCAGCCCTCTCTGGAGCAGCCCCCGGGGCAGATCAAGGGAAATAGGTAGGGGCTGGATCCGAGACCAAAGAGAAATCCACCGCAGCCGAGCTGTGCTTGGGGAAGCTGAGCGAGAGGGCTGTGTGGTGTGCGAAGCTGTTGTGGGAAGGGCATTTCTTTGCCACAGAAAATGGGATCTCATAATGAAAAAAAGACAATAATTAACTTATTGCAGGCTTAGATATTGGTATGGGAAACTCCTGCAGCTCTGCTGCTCCTCTCGCCTTGGAGAAATGAGCCAAAATAGTACTGTGTTTTCACCTGGGTGTCAGTGATAGGACTTGTAGTGTCCTGGGAGAACGTATCAGCTCTGGCCAAGTTATGAGCCTTCAAAAACATAAAACCGATCCTCTCTTGTATATGGAAACTATCTTCTTTCCAGGCAACAACTGTATTTTAGAAATTCCAAGCACATGGGGCTTTTCTTTGGATGTGGGTCAGCTGAGGCTCCAGTGGTGAATTCCTGTGCYGAGCTGATGATGAGTAGCAAATGTCTTCATGCTGGTTCTGTACAGACCAAAAATAAGTTGATGGGTCGTTGTGTGCAGCCTCAGACTAGGTGCAAAGGGAAAAAACCTGCCTGTTTCTCATATGACATATATCAGAATCCATTAGTACCTTACCTTTCCTTTGAAGCATTCAGAGAATTGCAATAATTGGGAGATAAAGAGCAAAACCAGAAGGAGTYGCAGTCAGTGTTTGCTGAAAGAATTTATAAAGAGCCTTGACAGTTGGCACACGCAGTGGCCAGTTTCATTAACGCCTTTTCTTCCTAGAGGCTCCAGTTTCCCAGCTTTACAAATAGTTTCCGCTGATGAATGGCAAGTTCCYATTCCCCTGTTATGCCTTTTGTTTAGGAGAAGAAATGGAAAATACTTGGGTTTGTGACTACAAGATGCTGTATAAATAGTGAGTTTCATGTCGAGCCGTGTTGAATCATCCTAAAATGAGCTGCATAAACAGTAAGTAGAGTGGGTAGCTCAGAGTGCATCTGGCTTCCAGCTTGGCATGTTTTCAGATCAGATATTCCTATATTTTTGCCTGTCGTCGCWTATGACCAGCTATCTCAGTTTGCCTGCTGTACGGATGGTTAATGTAATGAATACCTTAAAGATGTGTCAAGATAGCAGATGGGCTGTTTGCTTCCCACTGTTGCATGTGAGAGGTGGAGATYGTTCATGAGAGCGAGATGGAACTGCCCTCTCATTTGCTAAATGTAAAACAAAACAAAATTCCCATGCGGAAGGGGAGCAGTGTCGCACCCTTAGCTGATATTATACAAATAGTCTAAGTCAAGCCCGCTAGAAATGATTGGGTCTGAGTCTGGTCCTTATTTCCAGGCTCTTCCCAACTGCTCACCGGTATCTTGGTGCCTCTGCTCTGCAGAGGTACCTGGGTAGCTTCAAACCAGCAAAGCAGGAGGTGCCGGTGGAGGTTCCTGAGCTGGGAAGCAGGCCTGGGAGCCAGGGAGCAGCACCGCGGCGCGCTCCCTCCTTCCCTCTGGAATGGCGTCTCTGGCTCCGGGGCTGCCGTGYGAGCATTTGCGCTCCCAGGGAGACCCCCTGGATATTACAATTAAATAATCAATTTATAACACTGGTAGTTTTTTTTTTTTTAAATGCCCTTATACAGGTGGGATGTCTTCGCTCAGAGACTGGCCAGTCTCTGGTCATACCTTTTCTTAGGGAGTTATAGGGTTGGCCTGGATGAAGAAGGATGCGTACCTTTATAAACGTGATGGCTGATGTCCTTGGCAAACTTGTGTGACACAAATAAAGAAGATTGTAGTATTTTTCTTTACAAATTAAACGGAGGGAAATTACTTCAAATTGCTTTTAATCTTTGGAATTTTCTCTTAGAAAAGGAACGATCAAGGAACAAAGGTTTTATTTCCCCACTGTTAGAAGTACTTTGTTCCAAAACTGGGTGATAAATAAGATTAAAAACAAACAAACAAARAAAACGTACAAAGAGATCGTCTTTATTGTCTGGGTCGCATTGTGTTTTTGTTTCAGGTCAGAAGACAGTACAGTTAGAATCTGAAATCAAGTGTTGCGTTGTTTTGAGAGGTGATTAAAAGCAAGAAAAAAAGAAAAAAAATAAATATTTGACAGTAATATTCTTTCCAGGTGTGCTTATGAAAGCAAATAATGGAAAAGACTATTTTTTTGTTGGTGGAAGGTGGGTTGTGGTAAAGCAAAGGCTGGCATTATTTCTATAGTGTTATCAGTTTCCATGCTTACAGGAAACAACAGTAAAGCAGGAACCCAGGAACCTCTAAATCTTTCATTGGTTCTTAGTTGAAGTAGAAGGGTTAATGTAAAAATATCTTTCTCACTTTGCAATAACTCTCAACGGGAACACAGAGAATGCAAGGAAAAAAAAAAGAAGCCAATGAAGTTTTGTTCTGGCTCAAGTAAGAGCGTATTTGATGCCAAAAAAGTATCTTTGCAGCAGCATATTCTAATCAACTAGAGCCTTTGACACTTAAAATATTTATTCTAAAATTGTGTGTTCTTGTTTATCAGATACTGATGTATTTCAACTTTAAACTTTGTTTTTTAAAAAGCAGCTCTTCCTCACAGAGGAAGTCACCAACTTCAAAAGAAGTGAGGATGTGTCCCAGCATAGAGATACCATGGATGGTAAATAGTGTTTTAAGTGATCGGGGAAAATGAGTCTCTCTTCATGAAGGAGCATCAGTAAAGAAGAGAGAGTTGGGGTATTAAAAAGGGGATATCAGACAAATTAGGATTTGGATTAGGATTAGGATTGTCTTGCCTTTTCTATATCTATTTTTCCATGGAGGAAAAGATCTTCCAGACTTAAGGACAAGGGTATTTGCTTAACGAGGCAGAGGTTCCAATCTGCAGACCCAAATTTTGAGGAAGGAAGGTGACAAGAAACCAAGGGTAGCAAACTGGGAAAGGTGTGAGGGGGGAAAAACAATAGACTGTGGAAACTACATCCTGGTGGAATCTTGGGCTTTACATTTTTACAGGCCAAAATGTTTGTGCTCTCTTGTTTACTCCCACTGAAGGCAACAGCTGCTAAAGGTGCTCAGCACCTCCTGTCTCAGGACCAGGCACTCGACTTCTGAGCTTGAAAGATACCACAAGAAAACGTTTCTATCTGATCAGAAATGTGTGATTTGAAACTGTGCTTTGCAGACGAGCGTTAACACGCCTATGGCCAGAATGCCTGGCCCCACTCTTGCGGACAGCCCTGCTGCCTGAAGCCAAGTTCTCCTTAGCTCCACAGGCTACGGCATCGCGGTGCCGTAGGGTTCCGAACCGAGGAGGTCCATTGAACGGAGACGTGGCGGGATGAAGGCACCAGTCCCCTCAGTTGACCTCCTGCAGTTTCTCTTGGAACGACGCAGAGGATCTGTTGATTTATATCACTCATTGAGAGGCGAGCGTTCTTGTGTGGGTGGGTGAAGAAAGGAGACGCGGCCTCCATCCAGCGTGGCTGGGCTGGGATCACCACCTTCCTAGACACGTTTATCAGCGCGGAGGATGTGTGTTTGGCACAGGTGGCTGGAAGGTGAGGAAATACCTGGCATTCAGAATGTTTTCCGAATGTCAGTGCTGGGGATAAAGGAGATGAATCACTTGACAGGAAATAACTGACTACACAGGGCTTCCCATGGGATTTTTGCCTGCTGCTGGTCTCGCAAGAGCCTCGTACGTGCGGGATGTGCTTGGAGAGCCTGCA